AGAAGAGTATGGAGGGATGGACACTGGGAAGAGGTAACGATGGGGAGGAAGTGGGAGGGGAGCTGTTGCATTGTAAATTTTGGTCAATGACATGGGACAAAGTATATGTGAACTGCTGTATGAAAAGTGAATTTACTCTGTAAATCTTCACCCAAATCAAAATAAAATTTAAATTATAAAAAAAAGAGAGGAAAAAAAAAAGAGTGGGTTAGGGTTGGGGATGATAATTGGGAAGTGAAACCAAATGTACACGAAATGTTGAATGTAAAACAAATTCTGCTCTGTAAATATGCACCTGAAGCTTGATTGAAAAAAAAAATAATAATAATACCACTTAGGGAAAAAGCATCTGCTTCAGAACGAGAGAAGGAAAGGGGGAAGAAGACAGGAGAATGGTACAGTCATCATTTCACAACACTTTAACACTCAGGAGCCTCTCTGCTAACCTGTTTCTGAACAGTTTCAGAGAGAAAACAGCTACCATTTTATAGCCAGCCACATCATCTAGGTTCTTACTCTGGCCCAATACTACCTTTCTATGCTTGCTTGAAGATTTTTTAAAATTTCTCTGAGCCTCAATGTCTCCATTCACCAACATCTAGGCCTATAATCAACTCTAACTCAAAGGCAGATCTCTCCATCAAACCAACATCTCTCCCACTTACCCCCATATGTTCCTGTATACCAATTCTTGCAATAACTCTATCACCTCTCTCTCAAACTCCCATTTGGGTGATCAGCACTCTAATTCTTCAACCTCTCTTTAGGACACTTTCCAAACCTCCTGCCTTACTTGAGACTTGACTCTCCCCTGAGGACACTGCAGACCTCTTAAAGGGTAGCTGTTATTTTCTTTGGCACAGGAGGTGGCCTCCAGATCCATGATTAAATTCAGACCATTTCTCCCTCTTATTAAATAGGTATGTGTATGGGAGGAATCTGCTCTTTATCGAGGCACCACCATGCTGCTATGCTTTTGTTATCTATAACTTTTCCTCACTTACCAAATAATCCACCTGCACTCAGTTTTAATTACCACCCAATTCCTGCCATCATCAACCTAGGTAACTTTGGTGATCACTGGACAGCTCTTCCAACATCCTGGTTTCCCCACTTCCTCACCTCCAGGGAACTCTATCTCAGCTACTCACCCATCTACTCCTTTGGTTGCCTCTATGCTGTTATCACCTGTAACTGCCTGGACCTCTGAAGGCAGTCTCAGACACTCCTCTCTCCAAGCTCATTTGTTCAACCTCCTAGAGACTTCCAATACTCGGTTCTTTATTCAACAGCCACCCCCTCTTCCCTCCTCATCCAGCTTACATTCTACAATCTATCATTACAATCACATTTTTTCACATAGCCACAACTCCTCTGCCCTCCATTTCCCTACTAGAGTAACTTTACCAGTTTCCCACCCACCATACTGCTTCCACAGCAGTTGTTGTTGTTGTTGCTGTTCCACAGTAGGAGTGCCACAAATTGATTATAGGTGGGTAGCATTAATTTTTAACGGTTAAAAAACGAAAAACCCACTGCCATTGAGTCAATTCCAACTCATAGTGACCCCCACTGGATTTACGAGGTGGTAAATCTATATGGAAGTAGACTGTCCAGTCTTCCTTCTGTGGAGTGGCTGGTGGGTTTAAACTACCAACCTTCTGGTTACCAGTCAAATGCCTTAAGCACCGTGCTACCAGAGCTCCTAATTATTAATGGTTCCAGACATTTTAAGAGGTAAAGCATCCTCTTTCTTAATAACTACTGAAAAATGTACAACAGTTGAAATTATATTTGAACAGCATTTGTAGGGTGCCTTCTGTAACTTTCCCAGACTTAATCGTTAAAACTGTCATTTTAGTGTTGCCTAGGAGTCAGAGAGTGCAAGTAGCTGCACCACACATCCTTTCCCTTTGATCTTGCTGGGAATCTTCCCAGTTAATCTGATCATTACTTCATTTGCAATTTACAGTGAGAGTCCTTGTTTTGTGTGCACATCAAGTTTTTTATTTAATTTGCTCTTCATTTTCCTCACTGATGTATATGTGTGTGTGT